TTTGAATCTTAATCAATTCAACTAGCACACATTTAGGAATTTTAAATAGCGATAAATAAAAAATAGGAAGAGCAGACAGTACCGAGTTAATTAAGGTAATCCGGCCTCCAAAGGACAGTAGTGGACTTTTCCAAGTGGCAAGCTTATGATGAAAACGATCCAGCACAGAATTCCAAAACTATTTCCTCCCCGGATTCCCTCAAACCGGCAAACCAAGATAGATAAAAGGCACCCTTCCAATCCCACAATGCAAAATATCAACTGCACCTTTTAACCACCCTTCTGAAATGTTAAACCCATACAAATGACTTTTGCTAAAATTTATCTTTAATCCTGAAATCAATTCAAACCAATGCAAAATGGCTTTCACAACCTTTAAATTCCTTGCACACGTCTTTCCCATAAAGACAGTATCATCTGCAAACTACAATAATGACAACACCATACCACCCCTCCCAATTTCCAGACCTTTCAACAACCCTTCACATTCTGCTTTTTTCACCAGCCCACATAGCCCTTCACCCACTAATAAAAACAAAAAAGGGGATAAAAGATCCCCTTGACGAAGACCTTTGCTAACTGAAAATTCCGATGTCGGACTTCCGTTTAGTAAAATAGAAATCCTGGCTGTTGAAAGACATTCCCGAATCCACTTCCTCCATTTAACCCCAAACCCCATTCTGTCCATCATCCAATCAAGAATATCCCAATCCACACAATCATATGCTTTTTCAAAATCAGCCTTAAATATAAAGCTCTCCTGTTTCTTTTTCTTCACCTCATCTACCACCTCATTCAAAACTAACACACTGTCCACCAACTGACGACCCCTAACAAAAGCTGATTGTGACTCACTTATAATATCTGCCATAACCCTTCTCAACCTATTTGCTAAAACTTTCGCCAATAATTTATACAGACAACCAATCAGACAAATAGGCCTATACTCTTTAAATTGCACTGAATTCAATTGTTTAGGGATTAATGCCAAGAAAGAGGAGTTTAGACCTTTAACTAACCTCCCATGTTGATGAAATTCCAGCAAAAACTTCACAAAATCATCCTTCAACGTGTTCCAAGCAAATTTTATAAAATTGAAGTTGTATCTATCTGGGCCTGGTGCCTTTGGCCCATCACAACTTCGAAGACCCCTTCAATTTCCTCTATGGAAAAAGGTCTTTCTAGCCACTCCTTTTGTGCTACAGAGATTTTACGAAATTGGATCTCTTCCATTACAGGCCGACTCCACTGCTCCTTGTGGAATAACTTACTAAAATATTTAACTGCCTCTGCCTTAATTAACTCGGGTTCCTCAATCCATCCCTCCTCTCCTAAGATACCATCTATTGCATTCTGTGCCCTCCTTGTCTGCACGCATCTGTGGAAAAAAAGCTGTATTTGCATCACCCATACGAACCCAATTGTTCCTTGATTTTTGCTTCCACACAGCTTCTTTCCTTCGGAAAATGTCCCACATCTCTTGAAAGCATTCCTTTCTCAATAGCACCTCATTTTCGCTCAGCTCCTCTTCCTCACTTTTTTTTTCCAACCTCTCAATATGCTTTAACCTTGTATCCAGCTGAGTCTCCACATTACCAAAAACCCCTCTATTCCACCCCTTGCAGTCCTCTTTTAATAATTTCAGCTTTTGTTTACATTGGAAAGCCGCCCATCCTTCAATCTGCAAAGTCTTCCATTTATCCTCCACAATATCTTTAAAATCAGGGTGTTGTTGCCATGCGTCAAGTACTCGAAAAGGCTTGGGACCCCAATCTATATTTCTTGACGTCAAAATAAGTGCACAATGATCTGAAATTGATCTTTGAACCCCAACTTGAAACCAATCTTTATCCAATAAACTCATTTCTGTGGATAACAAAAATCTATCCAACTTACTCATTGAAGAGCCATCAGGTCTGTACCAGGTGAATTTCCTGTTCCTCAATCTAACATCAATTAATCCACACCCCTCTACAAATTGATTAAAATCTCCCATGTCCTGTGTCCCTCCTAGTCTCCCCTTCCTCTCTGCCCCATTCCTTACTGCGTTAAAATCCCCTGCTAAGAGCCATCTACCACCCTCTTCCAGAACTAACTTACCCATCTCCTCCCACAACATAGCCTTCCTCTGCCTATCACAAGGAGCATACACATTAACAAGGTTACATTTCAACCGCTGCTTTCCCCACTCCCCTGAAATCCCAATAAAACCATTTCCTTCTATCACCCTTTCTTTAACAAAATTGCTCTTATTCCATATAGACAGCAAACCTCCCAAATTGCCCACTGATTTTTGCATAATCCAGTCAAAATCCTCAGAATACCACAACTTTCTACACATAGACACCTCAACTCCCTCTAATTTTGTTTCTTGAATAAATAGAAAATCTGGCTTCTCCTTACTCACCAATTTAAAAATCTCCTTTCTCTTAATCACACTACCCAAACCCCTAACATTAAAAGAAATCACCTTCATTAATAAAACCCATAAACTCACATACCTCCAACAACCCAGTCTCGACGCATCAGGCACGTCCGAAGGTGACTCCATCCCTCTCCTTTAAAGCCGCCAACCTAGAGATCACCTCTTCCTCATTTTGTTGACATTGAATCCCCAAATTCTGCCCCATCAGAAACAACTCTCTGACTTCATCCATCTGCAGCTGCTTTCGAATCACCTCATTCCGGTGTCAGATGCACCCATCGGACAGAGAATAACTTTCCATCTACGATTCCTCCCCTCGTACATCTGTGCCCCTTCTATTTCTGCGAGCTTTTATCCTTGCCGTGACCCAGCTGGTGCCATCTTTCCTAGGTTTCTCCATCCCACTAACCCCAGCATAAATCGTTCCCAAGCTTCTGCGTTTCTTCTCTGTCCAGTTCAGTCGGGTTGACTGCACATAATGAGCCTCCAGCCCATTTTCGGACCCATCTTCTACACTTCGTTCCTAAGACTGTGGCTCCACTTCTCCACCTTTATGTGGCCCATTAAAGTTACCTCCACTCGGCCCAAATGTCTCCAGCCCATTTAATTCCATATTCTCGCCTGAAACTTCCTCATTTAAAGGTACATCTTTTTGTAACAGAAAATTTGAAACCATTTCCGTTGCAGCGCGTTCTTCGGCCATCACTACCTCATCCTCGCCTGGAAATCCGTTTTCATTGAAAGTTGATTCACTGAATCCATCATCGGAATATTCTGAGTCAGATTCTATCATCAGATTCCGTCGTTCCCCGGCCAACCACCAATCCGGGGTCCATCATCCACTCCTCCTCCTGCACTGTTATTGGGAAAGCCTTGCTGTCAACCTGCAGAGCTATTGAGGTCGATATCTTACTCTTTTCCTCACTTAAGATCAACACCCTTCCTTCACACAAAAAGGACTTACTCCTCGTATCCTCATCAACTAATATCACCTCTCCAATTAATCCACCTAATTCTGTGAAGCATCTCTCGCTCCATGCCTTTAATGGAACACCCGTGAACCGAAGCCATACTAGTCTGCTCACCGGAGACATCGTGGATAAAGACATTGGTTGAATCCATTCGAACCATGACTCCACTAATTCGCTGTTATGACTAATAAACTCCTCAAGGCATCCTTCTGAATAATCAACTAAAATGATATGGTGACCTCCAAGCAAAGCCACATTTACCAGTAAACCATCTACATCCAACCTGTTCTGAATTTTCTTCACCATATCTAAAGATCGAACCATCGCCACCATACTTCGTTTCAACCATGCTACTTCCTCATCATTAGGAGTGAATTCTAATACCAAATCTGTTTTTGGAGAAGACCTTTCCTCCACCCTACCTTCGCTTGTCAATGGCACAGTATTCCTTTCTGGAATTGTCTCCGGAACCACATCCACTACAGGTTCCATCCCTTTTGTTATCTCAACCTGCCTGACATCATTATTCGAAGACACCCCTTCCTCGGATGCAACCACATTGCCAGCAACCACCTGAGCATACGTCCTCCTTGGAGTCACCTTACTCTCTCTTCTAATCCATTTTTTCTCAAACTACCTATTTGGATTCCTCGCTGCCACCCCCCGCTCTCTTTTCATGTTCCCTGCCAATTTCACCTTGAGATGATAAGATCCAAGCCAGATCTGATTTAATTTATGTTCCATATCCTTAACATTTGAGACCTCTGACATATGAACGAAACCAAAATGACCCCCTCTCCGATCTCGCCTCGCCGGAATAAACACATCTGCCACCTTCCCAAATGACCAAAAGCAAAACCACATATCCTTCACTGAACAATCTGCTAGAAAATCATAGAAGAAATACATAGTTACTTGCGCTAGAAACTGCCTGCCATACCCTGGAAGCTGCCGCTTGGTCCCACTACCACTGTCCTTGGCTGCCGGAAAACGTACCTTAACCCTAGCACTCCCCCTCTCCATCGCTCTATAATGAACTCATCATTCCTACTTGGAGGCTGGAGAATTACTAATAAAATTTGTTTTCATTTTGATTTCATGAATAGACAATCATGTATTTGATGACTTGGTATCCCTTGACCTTTTCGTAATTATGGTGGGCAAGCTCTTTTTTTTTTTTTTTATAGGATAAAGTAGGCAATTAGCTTTATGTATACGTATGTGCGATTCTGAATGAAGGTACCTCTTTACCCTCCAGAGTCAAGCCTCTTCCATCCATTTTGGCTGTAGAAAGCCCTTTGCATCAGAGATTTTATCTGGTTTAAAGTGTACCGTCTTCATAATCATGTCCTCAACAAATCAACAAGTAAGCTTCTTCTATATCTTGTCAAAAAAATTTTACTACTTTCTTTGTATTTATTTATATCCAGTATGCAGCTGTATTTCCTTTTAGGAAATGGCAGATATGAAAAGCACTGTCCAGATTCGTGTAGATAGCAGGATACAGGGCCTTCCTTCCGAACCTTCTTCATGGCCTAGAATTTTTCAAGTGCCTCATTATTTACGGACGCTAAATAAAGAAGCCGATGAACCTAGAATCATTTCTATTGGTCCTTATCATCATCAAAAGGTTCATTTGAAGGCAATGGAAACGCACAAGGTGCGTTTTTTAAAAGACATTCTTCGACGAAGAGATGAGAGTAGTGCTGAAAGATGCGTGGAGGCCGTGACAGGTATGGTAAACAGGGCTCGTAACTGTTATTCAGAATCTTTGGTTATTTCTGATGAAGAATTTTTAGAAATGATGGTTCTTGATGGCTGTTTTATCGTGGAGCTAATTCATAAATTTGATGAGGGAAGTTGGCATGATCCTATCTTAAATGTGTGTCAGATTTACACCAACATTTTGAAAGATCTGAGACTAGTTGAGAATCCACTTCCCTTTTTCGTACCATGTGAGTTATTTGGCGAGAACACTAGAGATCAAATTCCATACATTTATGCCATTATTAAGATGTTTGAAGGATTAACGCCAGGGCTCAAACTTCGTGCAACCTATGACGAAAATTCAATAAAAAAACGTCACGCATCTAGTAGACTTATTACGCACTAATTGGCTTCCTTCAGAAGATTTAATGCGTGAATACAAGAAAGCACCAAGAAATGGTGGGTTTTCTTTCGTACGTTCTGCTACAGAACTAAGAGAGGCAGGAATCAAGTTCAAGAAGGTTCAGGGGGGCAGCTTGTTTGATATAAAGTTCGAAAATGGGACGCTTAAGATTCCAGCTGTGACAATTGAGGATGCAACTGAGATATTGTATCGTAATATCATTTCCTGTGAACAGTTTGACGACATAAGTTCTTCAAAATATTTAAGTGAATATTTAACAGTCATGGATTGTTTCATTAATACAGGGAAGGATATATGTGGAATTACTTTGTCGCAAAGGGATAATTGATAACTGGTTAGGCGCTAACGAAGAAGTTGCCGAGATGTTTAATAGGCTTGGAACTGAAGTTATTGTCAACAAGAAGAACTTCTTTTATGCCAAGTTATTTAATGGTGTCAACAGACATTACCACACACCTTGGAACAAAAGGATGGCAAGTTTAAGGCACAATTATTTCAACACACCATGGGCGTTGGTCTCTTTTGTTGCTGCAAATTTCTTGCTTTTACTTTCGTTGCTGCAAATTTCTTGCTTTTACTTTCGTTGCTGCAAACAACGTTCACAAATTTCCCTCAAACTCGGTCTTGAAAGTGTCAAAAACCTTTAGTATGGAGGGAAAGACGTGGATCAGCAGATGGCATTGAGGTGTGTGACAATTGCAAAGTGTTAGGGTGCATGCGTAGAGTAATTTGAAATATTTTCATGTGTATCCTTATGTTTGTGTAATATCCGTCTTGCGTCCTACTTTAATTAACAAGTTGTATCTCTGTTAGTACCATGTTTTTCTCTGTTTGGTTGTGGGTTTTTTAGGCTTCTAAATTGTAATGTACTTTTTCACTGCTACAAAAAAATTTACTATTTTTAACTACTAGATTTAAAGTAAGTTTATAGTAAAAAAAGAAAAGAATAAGTGCAAAATGGCAATTTTTTGTCACAATTTCTATATATATTATTTCTCACTATAGTATAGTGAAAAATAAAATAAGGCAGATGAATAGTGAAGGTGCTAACATCATTTTCCACCACAATTTTAGTGGAGACTACCACAAAGATTTAACAAGCCAAAAAGAAAAAATCAAAGTAATAATTTGTTGACTTATTTTCCACTAAAATGCGGTGGAAAATAACATTGCAAGTCAATTAAAAGTGTTAAAACTTCCTTCTTTTTCTTCTTTTAGTTGCTTGATGTTGCAAATGTGTAAATCTTGTCTTGACCTTGATCTCACATCAAGATTTTTTTAATTAATAACTACTAAATCAATCAAGTTTTTGTTAAATTTTTAAAACTTTTTTATATGTAATTTAACTACTAACAACAATATTTCCCTTCAATAATACTTTTTTAAATTTGTGGGAGGAAAAGAAAAATTTATAAATAAGTTTAAGACTAAAAGAAAACTTACAGATTAATGTGCATAATTTAAATTATTAAATAAAAATCGAGTCCTTAAATATTGAGGGATAACCTTTCCATCCAACAATTTCTTTTTGCAATTTGACTTGCAAAACATAATTATATATGAATAAATTCAGCCAAACAAGCCCACGATAAGCAGGGGAGAAACACGATGGCGCAAGGGGGTCTTCCCACAAATAGATCCCAACTCGGCCCATGTTCTTCACCTTTGTTTTGTCCTCTTTATTTTTCCCCTTTGTTTTTGTCTCTTTTACAATTTTTTATTCTCTATAATTTTTTCCTTTACATTAATTTCTCTCCTTTTCTTTTTTTATCTTTTACTATCTTTTATTCTTTTTTTTTTTTCCTTTCTATTTCTCTCCTTCTCTTTTTATCTTCTCCAAGTTAATGGTATTACAAAAACCAGTACTTGTCAAAAAGGTTGTGGGAGAATAATATCTAGGCTAAAGTAATGCATAAAGTTCTAAATTTTTACTAAATTTGCAATTAAGCTCTCAAATTTTATTGCACTGAATAAAGTTTTAAGACTGTCAAAATTCTCAAATAAAATTTCAATTGGACAAAAATAGTTAAGTCCATTAAATCATTTGTTAACACTATTAAATCTAATTGGTTAAATTACAAAAAAAAATCCCTAGACTTTTAACTTTAGTTTTCAATTACCTTAAACTTTCAAAAACCTTAAAAAGCTCTTTAAGCTAATTCTTTTTGTTGATAAGGAAATTTTTGTGCAACTCACAATTAAGAATTAATTTTTTAATTATCTAAAATAATTTACTAATTATCCTTTAAATGATTTCATTAAAAAGTATTTTGAGTTTTTTTTTCCCTAAAAAATTTTTTGAGTGAGTCTCACATATTTGCTTAGTAAATCCATTCATGAAAAAAAAATAACAAAAAAATTAAGGTCCACACACATGCCACATTTATTTTTAGTTATAGTTCCCATAAAAATTTCCTCATAAACAAAGAAATAAGTTTGAGAGTTTTTTAAGGTTTCTAAAAGTTTTAAAGTTGTTGAAAACTAAAATTAAAAGTTTAGGGGTCATTTTTTCATTTAACCAAATAAATTTAACAGGGTTAATCCGATTTAACAAGCTGAATGGTTTCCATTCATTTGAGATCTTATTTAAGAATTTTAACAACTTTAAGACTTTAATTGAACAAAATAAAATTTTAACACCTTAATTACAAATGTGTAAATTCAAGATCTTAAGAACTACTTTAGTCTATATCTATCCCTTAATTTTGTAACAAAAGACTACCCAAACAACTACAATCTATTGATTTGAGTGGAAAAACCTTGATTTTTCTTATATAGGATTTTGAGTTTAAATCTTTTAAATGGAAAAATAGGCATTAGAAGAGTTTTTTTCTTATAAAATTTAATGCGACTTAAGTCTAAATTAGTTGAAATGTAATGTAACTTTTAGGTATTGAGTGTTTAGCACTAAAAGAAGGCTTCCAAAGCCGGGTGACCAAATTCTTTGGAGTCTAATTGTTTCGAACTTTCAATCTAGGTGAGTCCCCATTGCATGCCCCATTTTGCGAATGTCTCTTACGTTGTCAACAAGAAATTGGGGTCGAATATAATTTAATTTTAAATGAGTTAAAATCTAATATAACTTTCGGATACTGCAAGTTTAGCACTAAAAGAAGACTTCTCAAGCAGGGCAGCCAAATACTTTAGAATCTAATTGTTTTGAACTTTCGGTCTAGGTGAGTCTCATCGCATGCCCCACTCTGCAAATGTCTCTTTAACACGAAACTAGATAAAGGACTCGTGGGTCCAGCTTTGCACACCAGTTATTTAACCGAAGATGAATAGATGATAACTTGACATC